AACCAACCAAATCCCATGCGTTATGTCCAATACGTGCGCACATAGACCACGAGTAATATCGACGGACAAAAAATTCCTAGGCATGTTTACGAATTGTTCGAACACAATGAATTTGCAACGGAGATATGTGCCCGTACAGTTATAAGTTATAATGAATCGTTATAATTTATAACGGTTTAAGATAACAATAGCCGATAACTCTAAATGTTTTGCGCGTTAAATTGTTGTTTTTCAAACTTTCTATAGTCATATTGTCGCATTCATTCGGGGTCGGTCTAAAAACGTTACGCATATACGGGTACATTGAAAGTTTGATTTACGTACACTTAATGTTCGACCGCGGCGAAATAAGAAAAACACGATTGCGAAGATTTCATAAGACCGTACGCAACAGACACTATACAAACACGTCAACTCTTTTCCACGTTTGTGTTTATCATTTAACAACAAACAACGGGGTTTTTTTTTTTAATTATTATTCGTATTTCTATTATTAATCACGATATTGTATCGCATTTACTCGTGCGAGCCACACGGTCGTCCGGTGACGACAGATGCTGTACACGTGAACCGCTACAGACGTTTCGCCGTTATCGCGCGCATCCTAATACAACCGAGAGCCGCAGGAGTGCACCGGTGTTTCGCTGGTACGGACATAAATCCCGTTCGGACCGCGCGCGTTCGACGCGAATATACTATTATGCACCGGCCCGACAATAACAAGACCGTGCGGCGCATCCGAGTGCATCTTCGAAAAAAAATGCACACGAAAAGAATGCGTAATTGACGTCGTCGGACACACGACCCGTATACACGCGCAGATAACCGCTTTTGAAATACGTATTGCCGCCGAGACGTATATACAATGTGTGTACGCGGTAACAGCAACGATGTGCGCGAACGTTGTTTCAATGGGACCGAGATGCCGTTTCAGTAGACCGACATATGGTTCGGTTCGCCCAACTTATGAGGTACGCGCGTATGTTTATGCGACCAACAGTTTGTGCAAAACGTACACCAACAGACGGTGTGCACCGCTGCAGCGGACAGTGTTGGTCGAACGAAACACGGTTGATCTCTCTCGTTGAACGCGATCCCCGCACATCCCCGTTTCTCTGTTGGTCGTACGCATGTTTGTAAGTGTAATATTATTTATGTACCTCAACGTCGAAACCGTTCGAAACTCGTATTTTTAAATTTGGAAAAGTAACACATAATATTTAATGGTAACCAACAATATGGCTGAAAACTATTTGAATCGTTTTGAATCATTTGAAAAAAAAAGAAAAAACGGAAAAATTCAAATCATTAAGTATAATATTATAAATATCGATATATATATATATATATATCATATAATCGTACGGTATGTCATTAATAATTCAAACAAAACATTTCAATGGGTCTTCTCGCGTGCGGATACTATTGTAAAATAAATTTTCCATACGATCTCGTCGAAACCGTACCACTGTTGAATACATGATTTGACGGAAAAATAGTGGTGAGATACGAATTAATATTTCATTTAAATAATGTCTGTTAACCGTACGTACGTACAATACTGTTGTGTATTTTACCTGTGCGCGGTAACGTTACGTAATATTATTCCAATCATACACCGAATAACAAAGAGATGTGTACATCGATCGGAAAATAATATAAATTTATATACGTTTTCGGTACCTATTTATATAAATGAGGTGAATATAATTGGGACACGTTTACCATATAAATGTGCGTATTACGCGTATTGTTTGATATCGACACACGCACGTGTTATATGGATGATACCGTATTTAATATTCCGTATCATTTTTTGGCTCGTGTCGACGACGAGCGTTGCCCCGGCATTACAATCACCGAAATTACGGAAAACACGGACTGTTCGAAGAGAACAATATCGTGGAATCGTGACTGCAATACGCGTCTCGCGCCGGACACCGAGAAATATTATAACGCACACAATAACGTTTATCACACCGCGTGGACAACAATGACTAAATTAAAACGATATTTAAATCGTTCCGGTTTTGTTTTTCGGGGTCCCGAGACGCGCGCGGACGTGGGCGGAATATTATTGTTTTCGGGATCGGGATTCCACATATTTGCGGTTGACCGCGGATAAGTCGCGGGGACCGGTTCGGCGCGCGATCAAACGCGCGAGCGCCGAAACAACAACACCACCCCGGCCCGTAAATCGTAGTTGTAATAATAATAAAACAAAAATAATAACATCTCGGGCTGCGCACGCCGCGCGCATCGTATTATTATAATACACATCCAATGATAAAATTATCATAGGAAATAAAAAAAAAAAAAAAAAAATGCGATTATACCTATACATGTATATAAATTACGTATACGCGCGTGCACGTATAAAAAAAATATGTGTATACGTTTAAATGGAAAGGGGCGGGGGGGGGGGGGAACAGAAAAACCGAAAACAAATTTGCCTACACGCGTATAATACAAACACGGTGGTGCTAATGGGTTGTAAAAAGAACACGAACGTAGGGCTACCGAACGCTGTGACGGGCGCGCGCCAGCTCGGGCATCAGGTAGGTAAACGGCGCGTGGGACTCGTGGGAACCACTCGTGGCGATACGTACCAAGGTCGCGAACGTTTGTTGCGATACGTGCGAGCGAGTGTACGTATGTCCGGGTTAGGTTACCCCGCGCACATACGGATACACGCGCACGCGCGCGAAAACGGTCAGCGAAATATTTCTCTGCGAGTCGTTTTTAGGGGGTTCCAGTTGGTAATTTTCTAAGGACTAAGGAATCAGACAAATTATGTAGCAGGTCAGTGGCGGATCCAGGAATTTTTTTTTTTTTTTTTGGGGGGGGGGGGGGATTTGAAAATATTGTAATATAATACATTCATTTAAATCCGGCACTACTGATTTCTTGTACGAATACAAATCATACACTTTTTCTTATACTTAAAAAAAAAAATCTTTTTCTTAGTTCATGATATTGTTGATTTTTAATGTATATTTTTCTTTATTATTCAGGAAATTATTGTTGTTAACACCTCCTCTAGAGGACGGTCGAGGAATTTTTTAGAAATACATATTGCTTCAAGAAAATATGATCGAAGTAAAATGTTTTAAAAACAGAAATTCCCATAACAGCGTGAGAAGTTCAGACTTAAAAAAAGTGCATCGACGGTTCTCTAAAGAGATGTCCAGGTATCTTATAATTTTTACCGATCTAAAATCGGATAACCCAAAGTCTCGCAGTCTCGTCACTGCAGAGAGTCTGAAAACGATTTTTTTCTTGCCGACTAGAACCCCCAACCCTAAAGGCCCCGGAGCGTAGGAGCGGCGGCGGTATCGCACGCTCATCTGAAACGTTATTAGCGATTCATATTACAAAAACAGCGCACGAGCATTTACCGCTCCAATATAAGCATTATTTTTTTTATTTATTTTTTTTTAATTTTATTATTCCGATATTTTTTTGTTTTACCCATTCGAATTATTCGGTGAGGTCGTAACATGGTTTTCATTCCTACGTCAAAGATTTATTATCATATCCCGTAACGAACGCTACAAATCTAATACGGTACATATACTTCAACCGCGCGCGGCAGTGTTTTGGTAACGCGAGGTCGTCATTATTTTTCTATGTCCGCCACACGAATGGGTTTTAATTGTTTTACACGGACGGAGTGCCTCCCCGCCAACTCCCAAACGTTATAGGTATACGCGACCGGATATGGGCTGTACGTGTAATCTTACCTACGGCTATTATACGGTAATGTAAACGACGATTGTCGTCTGTGTGTTGATCATATCGCCGAATCACCATCGTATAACAAACGCGCCAGTTATGCACATCGCAAGCTCCTGCGTTCGCCGTACACACCGGTCCCAGTCAATTCAATAAGAGTTTATCGAAATATTTTAAATGGCGCCAAAGGTGTTGCGTTTTACAAGCCCGATTTTTCAACCTGAACCCCTGGTAAACTGTAAAAGCTGCACGTCGGATAACAGGCGGAGCCGCCGCGCGCGTGAAGCGATTTGTTTCGTTTTTCCCACAGCTAATCAGCCGACGACCGTAACTGGACATTTCCGGACGGCTCGCGCACGGAAAGAAATCATTGAATTGCGTTGGAAAGGAAAAATAGATGTGCAAAACGAGGTCCGCGATGCGCGGCGAACGCGTGCGATCGGTGGCGCGCGAAAAGGTTCTCGCAAAAGGGGGTTCTAGACGCCCGTTTACGCGGCGGAGCGGGCACGGGAATAAATGTCCTTAAAAGCGGCCGGGCCGGGCCGGAGCGGGCCGACCCCGTAAACGTGTGCCCGGGAACGACGTGCTGCGAGGCGAGCGTGCACGGTCGAACGTGAAGGCTCATTACGGGCCGAAGATTTATCGGCGGCCGGGCACGTACCGCGGCCGCCGCGTCAAACCGTTGATTAATCACGACCGGGGACCCGTGTTGTGGCGGCCGCGGCGGCTCTTCTTCCTCTTCGCCCGCCGCCTACGCGGTCCCGCCGCGGCACCGGTGAAACGGTTTTCGACCGTTGTGCGCACGCCGTACGTACCCCGTTACGCGCGTACTACATCCGTATTGTTGCGCGACGGTGAAGACCGCTCGGCGAAAACGGCACTCGCGCCGGACAAATACGATTCCGAACGCCGGGCGGTGGGGTGTTTACGCTGTCGGAACGTTCGAACGCGACGGACGCGCCTCCGGTCCTCCGGACGAAACGTTCGCGGGCGCGCGGGTCAACTGAACCGTACGTCCAGTCATCTTGACCGGAGTCGGCCGGGCCCCGGCAAGAGACCGCGGTCGCCGGACAACGCCTAATACAGTTGTCAAACGTTCGACCGGTACGGGAAAACGATTGAAACCCGGTCGAGAATCCGTTTTGGTTTCTCGCGAGCGCCGCACCGCCCCCGCCCCCTCCCGGTATCGCATACGACTGGTGGTATCGCGTGCGGCGACGCGCGTTTCGCGCTCGGACAGCAATGCGAATACGATTGCGGTTTACCTTGCTGGAAATAGTTGGCCTTCCGCACGTACACGCACACGAGGGCCATGAGTTGTAGCTGCGACAGTCGTTGCCTGGTCGACGGCGGCAACGGCAACAGATCCCTGAGGTTCGCGATTTCCGCGTTGATCAGGTCCCTTCGTAGTTTGCTCGCCCCTTTCGTCGACTTGGTCGCGTCGAACCTGCACACACACACACGCAAGAAACACGGTTTATTTACTTATTCATAACACAATAACGGTACACCGCGCGATCACATCACGCGGTACAACGCACGAGGCGGCATTAAACACGTGCAGCTAAAAGTCGAATGTCCATTGCAACACATTTGCCGGAGCACTACCGCGGTACCAAGAGGATGCCTCATGCTTTAGGTGTTATGCTTTGTCTACGATATACTTACGAGTACACAGTTCCAATCAGGAATAGTAACCTATGCGAAAACGAATCGTTAAAACCGGACGAGTTTGTAGATAAATGTTCTCTAAGACGATGGAACACGTTGGGTGACTTATACAACTCAAAAGACGACTTGCGTATTTTGTAATACGTGATTGATAGAGATTTCAACACACGTATGCACTCGTACAGACCTCGTTTACGGTGCCTATGATTTTATTATTTTAAAAGTGCAAATGAATAATCCACGAGGCGCGGTGCTAAATGTAAAATTGTTATAAATATATCACCGTCTATTTTCAGTTACACGTTATACTTATGATGCTTAAGAATCGAATAAAATATGTTCGTATGCTCGACCGTTAATTTTTTGGGATTCGTTCTGAATTATTGAACGGTAAAAATGACTAGTGTTTTATTTTATGTGCTTATGATAAATATTTAAAATTATTTTATATTCATATACGTACTCGTATGTTTCGCACCGCGAAACGTTTGTTTCACGAGAAGAATGCTGTTCTTGTTACCTTTTATTCGGTATCTCTTATCACACGATAAAATTGTATTTTGAAAAAATTAGCCAGTTTTCGTAAATCACATATATTTGTGAATTTTTTTTTTTTATGTAAATATATATATATAAAAGAGAAAACAAAAACAACCTGATTAAGTTTTATAGACACATAAACGAACAATACGAAATCGATATGATCATAATGCAGATCGATGTACCAACGCGCACATTTTTGTTTAACGTAATAAAATAATCGTCGTCACAAAGTACGCCTACGATCTACACATTGTGTGCGTGTATGTTTATATACTCGTATTATATGTGTAACGTCTTAATTAAATCCTCCCCCTACAGGCGGCGGCGAGTTCGTAATTTATCGATTGATATACGGTTGTTTGTATATATATATTGCATTGTATAAAACGCATATATCGTATGCGTACACCGTGAACATAACGTTATATTATTCCTGCTGTCGGGCCGGGGCCACCGCCGTTGGCTGGTTTTTATGCGAGCGCGTGCGACGACCGACGACGGACGTGCACATTATCCGCGCGACCCACGCGTCAGTCCGGTATCTTTAGTGCCCCTCCGTCTCTTTCCAAGCGGACTAATAATATCTACCGAGATTATATAGGCCGTGGTCGATTAATAGCTCACGATAACAATATTACACCGCGAAGCGCCGACGGCGTGCGATAAAAAAAATATATTTATATACATATATATATATATATATATATATATAAAAAAACACATCCCGTGGAAAGTTTTGCGACTCCGCGGTGTTTTATTGTTGTTTTTATACGCGCACGAGCGAGTGATTCGTCCGTAGGTGAAAAAAAGGAGAAGAAAAAAAAAAAAAACCGTAAGAAAAAAACGACATCCGCATAATCGAATTTGAATATTAACTAGACGCGCGCCAGTCGATTATAATTTAAATCGCCGCATCGGACGAGATTACGTTTTCTCGCACAAAAGTATCGCATCGAGCGTAGAGGTATAACGTTTTATACGAAAATTATATTAATTTAATACGTTCCCCGTCAACTCGGTCCAAAGGTCATAGGTACACACTCGTCAACATCGTTTAGTGTCGAGTTCTTAATGCCGTACACAACGGCGCGCGACGTAAACATACGAATATGTTTATTTTTTATTTCTCTCTGTTTTTGTTTATATTTGTTACACGTATTTGTTGCGTATATTATACGCGCGCACGTGCGATACACAAAGTTTTACGAAAGCAGAACCGTGCCGGAACATTATTCGGTTCCGTACACTCTTAGATTTACGAATTTGCACCTAAAGGCGCGTTCTCGTGAGTCAAGTTCAGTTGACCGACAAATAGTTGATCAACGAAAATTGAATAAAATCAGTAGTGAGAACCTTTGTTTCAATAGAATTGAACAACTAATTAGTTGATCAAAAAAAGTTTGACTCGGTCAAACTTTATCGTTCAAGTACCGAGTTGTTTATCAATCCCTTTCTAGTTTAAACCCGTCTTGACGCGTGAGAACAACCTACACTGCAGTTGATTCAAGTTGAACTTCAGTTTGTTTTCAACCAGTGGGCAGTCACACGTGCATTTTATGTTTTATTTTGTCAGTTGTGTTTTTTTTTTCATTTTTAACGTATTAAATATTATTAATTTTAAAAATCAGCCTCCAGTGGTCTGAAAGCGTGATGCTAAGATTCTTAGAACTTTATCATAAGCATGACACTTGGTGTCAACTACGTGTCGACCGTGGTTTTTCCACCGAGTTCAAAATAAAATTGAAACATGTTCTGTTGAAATGTGTGAACAAAAACTGATTCAGCTTATGTTCAATTTTTGTTGATCAACTATAATCGGTCAACTAAACTTGACCCATGAGAACGCGCCTTAACCGAAGTTTGAACAATTTGTTTTATAACACCCATGGTATACGTTACGGTGCGTAATCACGATAATGGGAACTCTTGAGTTGGGTCCCGAGATATTTGATCGCTTAAAAAAAAAAAAACACGTGTTGGGTCCTCGGTGTTATTTAATAATACTCGAATTGGGTCCACGGTCACATTTGATAATACGTGAATTGGGTCCACGGTTGATTTTATCTTGTTTTTATCTTAATAACCCAACTCAAGTTTTCCCAGTGAAAGATGTGTGTTTTAAATTTCTTCCGTAATTTTAACTATATAACAAACAGTGTTAAAAGTAAAAACAAATAAAAATTTAATCAAAAAATCGAGCCGATTCAATAATAATTTTTCACACACAAAAAAAAAAAAAATTCTAATTGAACAATAATTTTAATATTTTAATAATGTTTACGTCAAACCGTTACCAATGTATAACAAAAAACCATATTTTTTGGAAGATTTTCCAGCCCACCTCCGCACGGTGTCTTCTGCGTAACGCTGATAGGCTGGATCCAACCCATGTAGTCGATAAAATGTATGGGGACCCAACTAATGTGTTCGATAAAATGTATCGGAACCTAACTTGCGTACTCAATAAAATACGTCCGGACCCAATTCATATTATTTTTTGAAATTTAGGACCCAAATCGAGGTCACCCACGGTAACACATCGTGGTATTCGTATATTCACCGGTGCCCGTGGTGCGTCCGCACTCGGAATAATATTTCTTTGAACGCCTGAGGCGTTCGGATGTTTGACCACGCATGAACGTCGATCATCGCTCGAACGTGGTGTGTTATTCTTAATTTCGGTATTTAAAGTTCATTACGAGTACTAACGATCGACTAAATGAAACGTGTACGAAAAAGTGTACGTTACGGATTTGAACTGTTCCGGGGACTACGCCCGGCACTGCGGAACAACCGTTCCGGCGGAATATCTCGAAGTGATCTACGGGCTCGTCCAAGTAGCTTTCAACAGTGCACAATCCCATGGACAGGTACCTATTATAATTTAATATTGCCGGGGTCACATTTCGAAAATAATTGCAAAACATCATGTCCGAAAACACGTGCGGCGGGCACACGTCTGTGGCCTTTCCTATTGAAATGTGGTTTTTAATTTATTTCAAACGCGTTCACACTTGCCACGCATCCGCATCCTATGGCATATTCGTAATGCAATACGAATTACGGTTTCGTTTTATACGTCGGGATCGAAAGTGTCGGTCGCTGACGTCCCCGTTGTTAATGTTTTTGGCGTTATGATAGCGCACAACACGGCGCGTGCATCGGTTGGCTGCACGCGCACTTTATCCGTTTTTTGGCGATGTGATAGCGTTGCTCGGACATCAGAGCCCACCGCATGGTCAGCAGATATACGGGTTTGATCCGAGAGTTCCGGAAAACGAACACGCGCAAGCGAAACGCAATTAAAACCGAATAAATAGAAAAAAAAAAAAAAAAAAATTTGAAAAACGAAAATGTCTGCGCACCTCGGCGGACGACGGGGACACGACGATCACGTCACGCGTGCACACACGTGAGCGTATGAAAAAATAATAAGCACGTGTATACTGTAGACGAGTATCGGATTCGCGGGTTGTGGCCAACACGCATGTGTTTTTACATAAAAAAAATTTTAATCGCACGCGGACGAGAACATCGAAAGCGGTGGAGATGTGGCGCGCGCATGAAATCCGACTTGCTATAAATTCCCTCGTCGTGTGCACGTAACATATTATAATTAGAGATCAGACGTTTGTCCACTTAAAATGACTGCGATATGCATGCATTTTTGTATGCTCTAAAAAAAAATGACCGAATACGCAATCAAAGTATACACAAAACGTATAAAATATGAATTTTAATTAAAAATAAAACATTAACAACATTTGCAAGATAAAATTTATTTTATCTTTCGTACAAAAAATGTATTGCGGTTGATAAGTACTTATTTCATTTTTATTGGTTGTTATTATTGTATCTTGTATTTTTTTAATTCCATCAAACTTGAATGTAAAAATATTCGGCACCAACACAATTGTACAGGTCGATAATTTAATGTACTAGTAGTTCGAAAATGTACTGAAATATGCATTTATATTCTTAATGTTTCAAAAATGTACAACTTAAACATGCAAAAGTATGCAAAACGAACATAGTTTTATCTGATTCAGTGGATCATTATTCAAATCTGTAACCAGACAATTCCAAAAAGCATTTAATTATAATAAATGTCGCGGTGTGCGTGTATTATTCGTCATCGTCAACCTAAGTGGCCATTGTTAAAAAATGTTATCGTGGCTCACACGCGCGTCACACCGCGAATTTCACTCGTTATATTTTACGGTAATACGTACA